GGTCGTACAAAATCTGTTATTTGCTCAACAACTTCATGTTAACCAATAACATCCGCTGTACATTTTAAAATTAATTATACTCTGGGGCATTGTCAAGAAGACTTAGAAAATCACGATCCTGCTCCTTTGCCCAATTCCAGACTTTTTATTTTATTAAGTAATTTGACTTTTGTATGTTTTTGGCAAGGGGATAAATATCGGAGCGCAAGAGACGCTCGTGGCATTCAAAAAAAATCTTTTCATGTAGCTCTCCGCTAAACGGAGTTTTCACCTTTTTTTCTTCTTCCCCCCTGAGGTCGGAGCATGGCATTACCACCGCCATTTGCTGATGTTAGCGGATGCGTATTCAGTTTAAATATGAAACTGTCTATTTTTCTTTAAGAAGATCACCGCGCAAAGGATTCTATCTAAAATGACAGTGGTTGCAGCTTCCCTTTGTGGAAAATGATGAGATTCATCAGAATTCCTATTGACATGGCGTCATATCGGCTGTCATGGGTTTCGCTGGTTTGCAAAAGAAGATGACTATCCTACATCGTTTCCTTTTCGTCCTTATTCTACAACTTTTCACTGAAGTTATCCGGCGTTGATTGCTTTTTTTTTTTTGGGCTTGCGGACTCGTTCTGGCAGAACGAAGACCTCGAAAATAAAGAACTTTCAGCCTCTCCTATCCAATACCTTCTCCGTACGCTTACTGTGTTTTGTCTTCCTGATGCTGAATTAAGTTATAATAGAATAAATATGAACTTTCCACTTCATCTGAACTCTGGACTTGTTCTTTAATTTTTAACTCTTTTGTGGACAATATATGGATTGTTTTCCTTTTTAGTACAGCTATCTGGACCAAGCCAAGGTATGATTTATTTACTTCAGAATTTTTTATCGGGTTAATTCAACGCTTTAAAATGTACTGCCACTAAACCTATTTATCATGTGCCTTCCTGTTTTTGGTATAAAATTGTTTTAAAGTAAACTCTTCTATTAGTATTCATTTATTAATATCCAGCAGTTACGAGTGTGGAGTAAGAATTAAATGCATTTTGTATGGTTTAATTTAACATGAGATTAACACTTTGATATAGAGTTTTTATTAAGCATATTTTTCATTATTTTGTGTTAAGTTAGGTCGAAATAAGTGAAAAATATTATATTTAACATTTTAATAATTTACGGTTGTGAAATATTGTTGTAAATGTATTTTTCTGTGTTGAAGGTAAAATGTTCCAAACCCAACTCAATTCTAAAAAAATAATTTCTCTAATTTGAAGTTATTTATATCTAAAAGAAGCAGTTATTCATCATTGAAATTTATATAATTTACTAAATTAATTATTGATACGTTTTTCAATATGAATGAAAAAAGTAATTTTTTAAACTACATTTTTTTATTTTTTAGTTCAAATATAATTTTGATAATGTGAAATATTTTTTAGTAACTCATAGACTGTTTTTTATAATTAAAAAAATACCAAAATACATTTAATGTATATATTATACATTTAATGAGAGCGTCAGAAAAAAAAATATATGAAAAAGGAACACCGCTGTCTCATCTGCGTCAAAGGGTTAAGCGTAAAACTTAGTATAAAGTGCGCAAAATAAAATAAAAATAATTGTAAAAAAAATAAACCTCCTGAATTATTTTTGATCTGATGATCAGATTTTGGTGTGCAAATCTTATTGGTTTCAGTTCTTAACATTAAATATGTTAGATAAATAGTATAGATGACAAGTTACGTAATCAGACACAAAAGTGAACTCTTTTCTTCCACGTATTTAGATTCCTGACCCAAAATATGGAGAGTATAGCTGCAATCACTACTAAAAGAAATTCGAATCTGTTATAAAGCACTATTATTTCCCTAATTTAGACAGCTAGACAATTTTGACTTTTTATTTAGACAACATTGTTTAGTTAAATTCTGATTTGATTTTTTAAGTTTAAGAACATTGTACTGTTACGGTTGGGTATAGAATAAAAATGAAAAGTTGCAAAAAATGATAACAATTTAGAAAGAAAAAAAAAACTAAAAAAAATTAATGGCCGGGTGAAACATATAGTTAGTACATTTTTTTTGAAGTGGTGTCGCAAAACTTTTATAACCCATGAGGAATAGTAAATTTTCTTCTTCAAAAAAAAAGTTCCAGAAGATAACAAGTATATTCTAAAAAAACATACCTTCTTCTCCATAGAAGCTACCTGCGTCTAGGATGAAACAAACAGAAAAAAACCTTGGCTAGTGAAAATGAATTAGTCCAGTTCTTTTTTTGAAAAAAAATCTTTGTTGTTTAATTGGAGAAAAACATGTTAAAAATCATCATATTGAGGCACATCATGTAAGGAATCATCAATGGCACATCCTAAAAATGTGGTAACTAGTGATAACTGGAACAGGAGACCGGACTTATTCTTGAAACGGAAAAGCTGCCGACATTCTTTTTGAGATTTTTTTTTTTGAAGAGATTAACAAGCAGGAGATATCCCGATCATGAAGTTAGAAAATGACTGTGAAGGATTTCCATCACTGGCGGTGGCTGTTCAGCGGATCATCTTAAAAGCTGGAGATTTATCAGGAAAATTCTTTAGTAGACATTAATCCGAGACAATGAAAAGGACAGTAGATTGACCACATGGCGGTAGATGAGTTAGTTACAGAGAACAAAACAACAAATAAAGATGGCGCAAGGAAGCCATTCTTCCAAAAAGCTTCTCCACCTCAGGGAGGTGGGAGCAAAAAAATATCAAAAACTCCGTTAAGCGGAGGGCAGCAAATTACTTGACCATCAAAATATCGAAAGCCTCTCGTCTTTCGCGCTCTTCCTTTTTATAAGATACAAAAACTTAAAGTTGAAGTTGTATTACATGTTGTGCAAGTTAAAGTTAAATTATCTAAAAATTACGAGTTGAGACGAAAAATTGATTATACGTTAACAGTTACGGTTGAGAAACACAACATACACGCGGAGATGAAAGATGCCGACAACCAGTGCGAATTCTCAGAAAAAAAAGGGTGGAATGTTCTCGAAAGAAAGGGGCTCTTCAAGGAGCTGGTAAGGAATTTTAGGGGGAGAATGTCCAAATTGCGCTACCGCTTAAGGGGCTAAAGAAAGATGATGAAATAAAAAAATGTATTACAAAATTATGAATTAAGTCAAAAGAATTAGTATTTTTGATTAAAAAAAACAGGATATTTAGAAAATTAGGCTGTGACCTAATGTCACAAACATAATGTAATATTTTCTGAAAAAGTTTAATGTCATATGGGTGGAAAGTAACACTTCGAGGGCCACTTTCACATTCATCAGATTTTGTTATACTAGAAACATTTTCTTCAACTGAAGTATCACATTTCTGTACAACAGAAAAACTTACATTGGTATTACATGCTGTCACCTCACTAATTTCAGATCGTGATTTTTTCTCAAAATAATTAAAAATTGCTAAATTCTTGTGTTAAAAATTGTTAAATCCTAAAGATCCAAGAACAGCAAATATATGTATATATTGGCACAGAAATATCCGCTATGCTACGATCTCAAAGTTTCGAGCTGGAATGAATAACTTCAACGAGCACAGTATCTGACTAACTCCACTGTACTCCGTTCCCCCTTTTATATAATTTTTCACCGAGTCTCCAAAATTCTCGAATTGTCTCAAAGACGACAGAACGTCTAGGATTCCAGAATCATCGCGTAAAGACCTCGCGAATGACAGCCAGTCACGAAAACTATACTGGCAGGACAGAAAGGAACCAGTCCATAACAGTATCACGCGAATTTGGTTTCAAAAGTACAACCCTATTATATGTAGTAAATGTTCTTTCAGTATTCTGAGAAATACCGTGAGAAAAAAAAGTAGGCATAAGGTTAATAAAAATACATAGTCTTAAAAAATAATAGCTCGCATAATTTCTACTAAAATTTTTATTTTTGCCATTTTGTCTGAGCTCAAGGGGGGTGTTTAAACCCCTAAACTCCTCCCTTGCGTACGCCACTGCTGCAATCTTGAAAAGTATGGTCCCCAAAGTTAAGGCTGAAGAGGTTCACCTTTTGCGTAATTCACTACATTTGGAGAACTTCTTAAGCGAATTGAAATTTTTTTATTCAGTACTTTACATAGTTATTAAAAACTAATTTCACAGAAGAAACAATTTTTGATATTTATATTTGTTTACTATTTTGTTTAATAGTAGTATAAAAAGTTTAGAAATCGTAAGCTATAAAATTTTTATATTGTTTCAAAGTTTGAAATTTAAAACGATAAAATGCAAAATTTGAATGAAATAGGTCTAATAGTTCTCCAAAAGTCAAGTTTTAAAAATTTGTATGCATAAAACTTGATTCTGTGATTTGACTTTCAGTCGTAACTTAAAATATCATTTGCACTAATTAATTATCATATTAAACGTTTAGGTCCTTGAACCATTAAATGTGAAAAATCGATTCAATAAAAAGATATTCAAGGAATTTACTTTTTTACTTTTTGTACAGATCCTTACAATCCTTACAATTTATAAATTTTTTATGTCCCATTTTTTTTTAATTAAAACTATTACAAAAATTTTTTTAATGGTTTTCTGTTGTATATATATTTAATTTTGAGGAATTTTTGAATACACTATGTTTTTTTTTATTAGTAGACAGTAATTTAGAAATAGTCTTATCATAAACTTCCACTCAGTAAAATTATGATAAAGCTTTTACTAAATTACTGTTATAGTTTTTACCTTCACCTATTTCCTTAAAATAATTTGATAGCTTAGCATGCCTTGCCAATGCAACATTAAATAAATAAATAATTAAAATTATTTATTTTCTAATGGTACTGATATAAAGTAATTAATGGGCGATAACGTGTAATCCTTAATAGGCTGTGCAAAGAATGCTTTATTTTAAAATTAAGTATATACCTTTTTACTGTAATGTAATTTTATGCATATTATGTGAAGAAAGTTTTACAAAATTTTATCTAATTGCTATTTTTTTCCTTTTTTAAATAGAAAGCAGCAGCCTATCGTTTAAAGATATCGACTGCTCCTACCACCTGTGCGAAAAAAGATTCCAGTTATCATGACGCTCAAGACTGTGACGTGTTGGAAGGTGCCGTAAGTATCTGCAACAACTTTCTTTCTTAGAAATAAAATCACGGCGCAGTTTTTGTAAATAATTACTTTTACAGAACTTCTTTTTTAAAAAAAAATTATACTTAAGAATTAAGTGGATCCGATAAAATATTTTCTCTTCTTAATTTTAAAATTATTTACGTACAATGCGCAAAAAAAAAAAAAAAAAAAGAGCTGGACTACCCTGAATAACTTTTAATCTAATGATCGGTGTTGCGACATCAATGGGCAGTTAGTTTAAATAATTCTTTTAACACGGATGGCAACTCTTGTAATTGCAATATTCTAACTCAGGCTGGTTGCTAGGCAACTTAGCTTTTACCGCGATTGTATTCTTTTATTTTCACTGACGTACACAGACGATAAACAAAAAAACATTAATACCAAGAAAAAGTCGTCTGGTTGCCCAGCAACCAGCCAGAGTTAGAATATTACAATTACAAGAGTTGCCATCCGTGTTAGAAGAATTATTTAAATTAACTGTTCAATGATGTTACAAGAATCGGATCTTCACGTTCTAGGACTCATTCTTAATGGTTTTCGGAGTGACCTCAAATATGCTAACTAATTTTAGTACAGATGATATTTTAAGTTGCAAGATCAGACACAAAAGTCAACTTTCTCTGAATATATAGATTCTTTTTTCGAGGGATTAGAGTTTTTGACTCCAAAAATGTAAGGAATAGTCACAATCTGGGAAACATGGACACAATAGTTTGGTCAGGAGAGTGGTCCAAAGTTTGAATGTCTTAATGTTAATTTTACTTTTTTGCGTATTCCACCGTATCTCAAGAACTTTTTAAGCAAATCGAAAAAACATTGCACATTTTAAAGTATCTAATTTTACATGGCTAAATGCAAAATTTGAGTAAAAGTGGTCGAATAGTTCTGAGAAATCGAGTTTTTAAAACGTCAAGCATTTAAAATTCGATTTCACAGGAACTATTCAACCGATTTCGCTTATCAATTTCGTCTGCACCAATCAATTAGCGTATTTGAAGTCACTCCCTCAAATCATTAAGAATGAGTTTTAGAATATGAGAATCTGATCATAACGACGTCAAGCATTTAAAATTCGATTTCTCAGGAACTATTCAACCAATTTCGCGTATCAATTTCGTCTGCACTAATTAATTAGCGTATTTGAAGTCACTCCCCCAAATCATTGAGAATGAGTCCTAAAACATGAAGATCTGACCATTAGATCAAAAGTTATACAGGGTGGTTCGTTTCTTTTTCTTTTGGCGCACTGTACAGGAGCTAAGAAAAACGATGTCTTCTTACATAGCTTTCAATGAAGGCATTCTAACGTACTAATATGCACGCCTAAATGTTTTTAAATAAACAATTTAATGATGCACATTAATCAACGATACAGTTGAAAATCGTTTGCGTCCAAAGTAAAAAAAAAAAAAACTTTTTTCGTTAAATGTATGAAAGATTCGAAAGATATGTTTCTCAGATTTAAGTCAGTATAGCAATAGAACGTTTAGTTTGATCTTCTCAAGACTTTCTTAAAATAGTTTGAATTTTGAGATAATTTGAAACCAGTTTCTCATAAAAAGAACAGACGCCATATATTTCGAAAATACTGATAAGCATTTAATAAAGGTTGAAGAAGCTATATTATCGCCATTTTTTAGGAGCTACAAGATGGAACTTTCTCACAAAATATAATTTCTCAACTTTTCGCAAAGTTTTTTTACATAATTATTTTATTTTGAACACTTACGTAGATTTGTTCAAAATTTCCTATTGTTTCATCTGGTAATTCATAAGAACACGCTCAGAAAAATTTTTCTGAAAAAGCAGTAACGGAAAGACAGCAGTAATCCTTTTAAATAAAAGAAAAAAAACTATTTTTCAAAATCTGTTGACCTATTTTGCTTTTATATGTAAAAAAAAAAAAAAAAAAATCATGGCATTATAACGCTAGAGTTAATTTATTTAGACTTTAAGCTTCTAAGTTTTTTTAATCATTAACAAGTTTTACTTTAAAATAAATAACTAGAATCCCTCTCAAAAAATTATTTTTATTCAGAGATTGTACATTTTGTGTCTATTTCTTTTCTATTTAAATTGTAATCAGCTCAAATGATTTAGCATATCTGAAGTGAACTGAGCTATGAAAATTTTATTTAGAGCACTAAAATCCAATAACATCAAAAGTTATGCAGGGTACATATTTTTGCATACTGCGCAATACTTTACAAAGATTTAAATATTCTCTTTTTTAAATATTTAATAATGTAATTTATAAAACATTTTATTGTCTTTTTAGGTAATCCATTATTGCACAATTACGGAGAAAAGAAACAAGAACGGAGACTTTTTTTTCCGGAGAACAAGTTGCTCAAATAAAAACTTTCCAGAATAATACAGAAAAAAAAACTTCAACTGATAATGAGGCAATTATATTATTAAACAGTTTATATTGTTATGCAATAACCGAAAAATGCATGTGAGTTTCAATATATACAATAATGAAGTAGAACTGATGTAGGGATTATTTCTTATTTTGAAATTATTAAATAAATTTAAATTTAATAAAATCCTTTCCTAATACTTGAGCGCAGATCGTCTGGGTATCAAACCGTGGGAGTCATCCCCTCTGCAAAGGATCAAAATTCTGATGGCATGTCTGCGAATCTTTCTCAGGAATGTTTCTCAGACCGTTGCCAATGGGATACCTGCAAGTGACGTAGTATGGGTATCTCGATCCTTACTGTTTACTGAAACATGGCTTTGTTTTCGTTAGCAACTGTTCTTTCCATTCTGTTTCGAGTAAGCCTACCCTGTCAAATATCAATTCTCTTAAGTGAGATAATCTATATTCTTTCACAAAGACTTTTCCTAAAGATTTCAATTCTTTCACTTCTATTTCCCATTTAACACAAAGACAGGCATAAAGCCATGTAGAGCACAAACAAACTAAATATGCATCGAAGTTGCCAGGTATACGAAACAAAAGTATATCACGGTTACAATAAAATACATAAACAAATAAATCCAATAATAAATCTAAGCTAAGTAAAAGATGTAGACAAGAAAGAATTATATTTCAACAAATTTGGGTTGCGAAACGGCACTGTATTTAATTAATTGGGGTATACTATAGCCTACGTCACAGATCGTGTTATTCCTACTAAATTTAACTAGTAAACAGCATTTTCTGCGAACCTGATTTCTAGCAACAAGTAAAAGCACCAAACGAAGTGTCTTGTTATAAGTCGTTACTCGCCAGGTTGAAATTGTATTAGTCTAGTTCCTTTGGAAATAATTTATATTGCTGTTTTACCGAAGTTTATGAATTTAGTAAGCATATTTAAAACTCAGTTTATTAATTAAACTAAAAGGTAAATGTTATTCCTAGTAAGTGGAAGTAGTTGTGCTTTTTTCATATTATACCCAATTAACGTGTTTGATTATTTTGAAAACTTTGTTTCTGATCTGGGGGGGATGTATTTACATATGGTGATTTTATCGTAGGTATAAATAATAATTCCTTTAATCTAAATGGCACTGATTGATCGAAAGTAGGGTTTAATGGCACAAAGTCTAAATAAGGACATGCTGCGCAAAACAATACGGTATAACAGTTTAAAAGCTAAGGTCAAAGTGCTTACAGCATTTCTATTGTACAATTTTTATTGATAAAACGGCACAAGCTTATAAAATCAGATAAAAGGTGTAAATAAAATCAGATAAAAGGGTATGAATACCATATAAAATACAATGAGTAAAATGATACGAAGGTGATACGATGTTTGCAAACTGAATAAAATTGTATCCAAATATTGTTAATAATACCAACAACACGTAAAAATGCAAAAATATTAGGATGATAAATGCCATTCAATAAATCTTGCTTTCATAAAATTGAACTCCCAAAAAAGGTAAAACGTTGTTGGTTAAAACATGGGCAAATTATTTGAATGTGGTGAATTGAGAGCGGAACATTACAAGTATGGCATTGAGGAGAAGGTTCTCCAAATAGCAAATGAAGGTGTGTTAACCGGGTGTGACGTATTTGCAGACGGGTAAGTTTAACGTCTGCACTACGCAAGTGCAGCACAGGCAACTTATCCAAATCTGTTTCAATATTATGGCAACAACAACAACAATATTATGGAGTTCATTGAAAATTTGGAGGTCCCAACTTTGTTGCCATGAAGATGTAATAAATCGTTGAACATGCAGCTTAACATCAGAGAAAGGCACGGATAATGACAGGAGAGCAGTGGCAAATCGAGCAGCAGAGTCAGCTATGCCGTTTCCTGGTATGCCAACGTGACTCGGCACCCAACAGAACAACACATGAAACCCATTTTTATGAAGAGTGATCAACAAAATAAAACGTAAAATTGGATGGTTATTGTTGTTAAAATTATCTGACTAGCGCAAAACGCTCATACTATCGGAGTAAATACAATATATCCGTGTAGAGCATGTAGAAATCAGTCTTAGTGCTAAAAGGATGGCGACAGCTTCAGCGTAAAGACGGAGCAAATATCTGAGAGTTTATAGCTATAGGTATCATCAGCGATGACGACACCGCAGTCAACATATCCAGCAGATTTTGAGCCGTCAGTCAAAATAGGTATGTATTCGGAATATTGATTACGATGTTCAATGAAGAGTTGGTGGAAAATGCAGGATGCAACATTGGCTTTACTGAATAACGTAAATGGGGTAATGTTGATGGATATGGGGAAATGATATGGTGAGATGGTCCATGATCTACTGATTGCGAAGGCAATTCGAATGTTTGAATGAGTGAGTGCGTGCGAGTATGTAATGCTCGAGTATATGATGGTTTAGCAACATACAGTCGCTGAAGGCTTGATGAAATAACACCATGCTTTAATGGATGAGACTTAGAGGACATGATGCGAAAGTAATAAGTGAGAGACATCTGCATGCAACGTAAGTCTAATGGCAGTTGATGGCAAACAACATATAAACTTTCGACTGGAGAAGTACGAAATGCGCTAGAACATATGCGTAAAGCAGTATGATGTACTGCGTCTAAGGCTCGTAGGCTAGAAGCGGTTGCAATACCATAGACTGGACCTGCATAATCTAGCCTCGATAGTATCAGGGCTTGATAAATACGTAAGAGTGCTAGACGATCAGCTCCCTGACAGAACACGCAATATATTCAGTTTCTGTTCACGTCGTTTGCGCAATTGCACTATATGAGAATGAAAAGTTAATTTAGAATCGAAAATAATGCCTAAAAATTTTGTTTGAGGTACAACAGGGATAGCACTGTTATGAATGGAGATGACGGGATCATTGCGCAGGGTGCGTTTCCGGCAGAAATGGATGCATGGACTTTTAGAAGGTGAGAGGATATGGCCATTGTGATCACACCAGTCTAAAATCTTGTTCACGGCTGATAGCAGTTGCCTTTCGATAACTCTCATGTCGGATCCTGAACAAGAGATATGCAGATCGTCAACATAGAGAGAGAGCCAGAGACAGCAGCTGGTAATATGGTTAAAACTAGTGAAATATGAAGGATGAATAATGTGACGTGACGCCTAAAAAGCTGTCTTGTTGTGGGGCGCTTTCTGCTTGACTATAAAGGTCAGAAAAGGTAGAGCCAAGTTTAACACGAAAATATCGTCTAATTAGGAAATTTTTTATAAAAATCGGCAAATGAACACAAAGACCCAAATCAAACAGCTCCTTCAGAATTCTATATCGCCAAGTCCGATCATAAGCTTTCTCGACGACAAAGAAGATAGAGATTAGATGATTACGCCATACAAAAGCTTACGGATTCGAGATTCTAGTTCGGTAATATTATCTATTGTTAATCTTCCTTTACGAAAACCTCTTTGAAAATTAGGAATTAGACGCTTCTTTTCCAGATAATATACAAGGCGTGCGTTAATCATGTGATCAAATATTTTTTCCAAATAGCTGGTTGACCGAGTCTTTGGGATCCTTGACTGGTTTCAAAATGGGAATCACAATAGCCTCACTCCATTTAGTAGGGTACGTCTGTTCCGTCCAAATTCTGTTAAAGAGAACAAGGACATTTGACAAGGACGCAGTATCTAAATGGTGGAGCATGCGATATGTAAGGCCATCTAGACCAGGACTAGTATTTGAAGCTGATGATAATGTGAGTTGTACCTCTGTAAAAGTAAAATCAAGGTTATATGAAGATGATCTGCGAGTGTGAAAATGATTTGGCGTTCGGCATTGCGCTTGTGATTTCAGAAAACTGAACTATAATTTTCCGGACTGGAGATAGAAGCAAGTGTCTCACCAAGCATACATCGGTAGCATACATATGTCTTATTTCATACATCAGTAGGAGCAGAATAGGTAGTATAGTTCTTTTCGAATATCGGGAAATGAAATTCACGGTATATGCCATTTGCTTTCTTGACTCTCGACCAGATATGTCTGGGAGATGTCTTAGATGATATGGATGTGACATACCGCTTCCATGACTCCTTTTGACTTATGCTCCGAACCTTGCGAGCAAACGTTTTGGCCCGTTTGAAAGCCAAAAGGTTTGTGGTGGAAGAGGTTCGACGGAAGATGTTCCAGAGTCGTTTTTACTCCTTGTAAGCCGAGGAACATTCAGAATTCCACCCAGGCTTACGTAAACGGAGAACATAGCTCGACGTCTTTGGGATATCATCTTCCGCAGCTCGGATAATGACAGAGGTTACAGTATTAACAGCGGCAGTATTTATATTGGCATGAGTAACCATTGTATTGTTTATCTGAGCAAGTTGAGTGAATAAAGGGCAGTCAGCGTGATGATATATGAATACTGAGGGTCTTGTACTCATGGGAACTGTAGCAGAATATGATAGAATGAGAGGAAAATGATCACTGTTGTGTGAAGACAATCGCTGACAGAAAAGTTTATGAACAGCATGAGAACTGGTGAACATAAAGCTGAATCAATGGAGTAAAAGGTTAGTGTTAAAGTATGAAAATAAGTTTCTTCTCCTTGATTTAGCAAACAGAGATTATAGTCCTGTATAAGTCACTCTATTTTACGACCCCGATCATTGGGAGCGGAACTACCCCAAAATTCACCGTGACCATTAAAATCTCCGGTTAAAATAAAAGGTGAAGGTAACTGGACAATCAATGAATTTAATTCTGTTTGAGAAACAGGTAGATAAACCGAAAAGGTGAGGAGTATATTAATGTGAATTTGAACAACAGTAGTTTGTCATGAAGTTGGGAATGAAAGGAGAGTAGATGGTAAAATGTTTGAAGTTAAGATTGCAACACTGCCATGAGGATGATTTCCATCATAAAAGTCATGTCGGGAGCAAGAGTAATTTTGTAATTTAAAAGCAGCAGATGACTTTAAATGGGTTTCCTGCAAAGCAGCACATGCAGGTTGATATTTAGAAATAATAATTTTTAAATTAGATAGTTTATTTTGTAACCCATGACAGTCCCATGAAATAAAACAG